GGTTTCTGCCTCACCAGTATCCGTTGGTCTCCGGTGAACGACTTAGAGAGAACAATACACCGCTGTCCCTACTCCAAGTAGGCTAGCTACTGGCTTTCAGGCAAGTCAAAGTTCCCCTGCTACTCCCCTTTAAGCCAATTAATCTCCCATTGTGCCCGGGAAAAATTTCACTTTGAATTTGGAGTTTTCAAATTTAGCACTCTCCTCCTTTAAATTTCCCAATTGAATTAATCCTGTTCGTGACGCCAATTGTTCCAACTCACCCTCAGGTGGGAACTTATGCACAGGTGACTGGGGTCCCTCAGCCAGAGAACTGTTGCCCACAGTACTTAACTAAAATTGATCGAGCATAAACTAAACACAGAAACAATAGTTAAAATGCATGAATCCCAAGGTTTATTTACCAGAGTCCTGGTGGTTTCCAGAAGCCTGGGCAGGTCACCTGGAGATCGGCACGGACAGACACACACACTGGACAGGAACACGTTGCTGCAGCGTCTCGGTCAGTAACGAGGCCTCCAGAGTTTGGCTCACAGGCAGAGTGACAGCTTCACTCAGGCAGTCTCACGCAGTATTTCGAACGGGGAGAAGAGAGTGGGAGAGCATGGCGGGTGGAGGAGCCCTTCGTGGTCTCTGCCCAGTGCCTCTAGGTCCCTTCTTTTATGGCCATTTCTGGGTGTTTCTTTGTTCCTTCTGGGTGCAACCAATAGATCTTCATTGTGCCTAAGCTCGGTTTCCAACTTTCCAGATAAACACATGTTAGGGTGTTCACACAGTAGGGGCTCAAAGTCAGTTTTAAAACTCAAGTTTTACAAAATGGATTCAAGTCACATTATATGGAGTTACTTATACTAAGCCTAAACCACATTTCAAATAATTTATTTTACTTAAAATAAAATCAGAATAAGATCAGAAATACAATTCACACTTAAACTATAAATCACTCATAAAAGTAAATGCTTTCATTCCTATTTTAAATCACACAAATAATTATTTTTACACTGTTTTAAATCCTTAAAACATCACACTAATATAACTATAACACTCATGCATTGTAGTGGCTGTAACTACTGTGGTTTGAAGTATGATAGCTAAACTAGCACATATTTATTTTTCCTTTCTCACAATGTCAAATGTCACATGACATTTGTATATCAATCACACCTCAATAAAGTCGTTTAAAGTAAATCTTCTTTAAATGTCATTTTTTTAAAAAGTGTCATTTTTGCTATCTTCACAATCTCCCAGCATGTGAAATTTTTTTTTTTTATTGAGAACTTTAACCTTTGCACTTCAAGGAAGCATTTTTTGCTTCTCTTTGGCATACTGCCACCATCACTACTCTTGCTTTTTTGGGGCCACTATTAAATAAAATAATGGTTACGTGAACTACAGCACTGTGAAACAGTGATGGTTGATCTGATAACCAAGATAGCTGCCAAGTGGACAAAGGGATGATTCCTGTCTTGGGCTGCACACAACAGGATGGTGCCAGATTTCATCATGCTATTCAGATGGCTCATAATTTTAAAATCATGAATTATTTATTTCTGGAATTTATCATTTCGTATTTTCAGACCACGGTTGACCTTGGGTAACAAACCACAGAATGCAAAATTGTGGATAAGAGAGACTACTGTCCATGGACTATTGAAGTTGTTATTATCACATGGGCTTGTATCTTTTTGTGAAAAGTTTAAATAGCTACATCTTATTTATGTTTTATGTGGATGGCACCCTCTGTATCAGGATATCTAATCAAAAAAATAGTTTAGGTGCAAGGGTAAATTCAATTAAAACCATTTCAGCAAAGTCCAATAGATCTGGGAATTGAATATTTAATAAAGGAAAGGCATTGTTCTCTTAAGCTCTCCAAAAAAGTTTAAAATAAGACGACTCAATTTATATCATCTGCTTAAGAATCCTCTTCATTGATAGCTGAGCTGGTATTTTATTGGTAGAATGATTGAAAGAACTGTTTTTGCCTACCTCCTCCTTTCTCTTTGACATTCATACCCATCAGATGTGGCTTAAAGAAGATTTATTTTAAACCACTTTATTGAGGTGTGATTGATATACAAAAAACTGTACATATTTAATGTATGCAACTTGATGAGTTTGGACGTAAGTATTTACCTGTGAAAACGATCACCAAAATTAATACAATAAGCATATAGTTCATTTCCAAAAGTTGGTGTGTGGTGTTTTTTTTCCTGCCCTCTTTAGAGGAAATTGTATTAACTCAGTAATTTTTGTTCATTTCAGGTCAGAGAATGTATGAAGCTGATAAGTAATTGTTGCAGGGTTTCCCAGATTGTGAATACAGAACTTGTAAAGTTCATGTGGCAGGCACAAAAAGGGCTCCTTACCCAAAGATTAGCAGGAAATCATTCAGTCAACAAGTATATTAGTAAGAGCCTGTTAAATGCCAGGTCTGATTTTAGTGGCTAAGGGATTCAGCAGTGAAAAAAATCCCAGTCTTCATGGAGCTGACATTGGCTGGGAGGAGGGATGCCAAGAAAAATCCGGAATGTGGGGTTGGAATTTGAGGGTCACTAGTAGGAGGCTGCTGCTATTTTAAAAAGAGTAGGCAGTTAAAGTTTCATTTTAAGGTGACACTTGAGCAGAGTTTTGAGGTTGATACATGAATGAGCCATGAAAGTATTTAGAGTAAGAACATTTTAGAGAGTAGCAGATACAGATACATTGAAGTGGACTTGTTTGACGTATACAGGGAATCTGGTATGGCTGGACTTGAGTGAGCAATCATGTTAGATTATCAAATTCGAATAAGGCTTTGTAGCTTAGAGTTGGAACTTCAACTCCAAGCAAAATGAGATGAGTTACATGATTTGATTTTATGTTTTCAGAAGGTCAGTTTGGTTGCTCTGTGATTATAGGCCATGAGCAGAAACTGAGACCAGATAGGAGACCATTGCAATAAACTGAGAGATGATGGTTTGGACCAATGGTGATGGTTTAGTAACAATGGAAGTGGTGAGGAGGGCTTAGATTCTGGATGTATTTTGAAGGTAGAGACAATAGAATTTCAGTTGGATTAAAAGTGAGATAAGGGTGTAAGGAGGATTACAAGCTGCTTTTTGGCAATTATAAGGATGAATTGGACATTTGCTCATTTGGAAAAGGCTGCATGAGAAGTAGATTTAGGAGGAAAGATTAGGGTTTCTGTTTTAGACTTGCTAGTAGGCATTCAAGTAGAAATATTGAGTGGGAAGCTGAAAATATAACCAATATTAGGGGAGAGGGCCAAATAGGATATGTAAATTTTAAGGTTAATAAAGCCATGAGAATAGATACAATCAACTTCACCTTTTAAAAACAGTGTGGATGGGTAAAAAGGTTTAGAACTTGATCCTTAGGGTTGGCAGTTGTGAAGAACAACTGTTAAGCAGACTGACAAGTACAAGCCAATAGAGAAGAAAGATAGTATAGCTTGGAAGGTAAGTGAGAAATCTGTTTCAAGTAAGAATGATCACCTTTTTGAATTGCTGCTAGATAGGTCAAGTAAGATAAGAACTGAGACTTTGACCTTTAAATTTAGCATTGTGGAAGTCACTGGTGACCTCTTCAAGAGTAATTTCAGTGAAATGGTAGAAAATGGGGATCCTTACTAGAGGGACTTCAAGATATAGTGGGGGAAATAGGACTTAGATGCAGTCAACATAGAGTTCTCCTTCCTTGCCTTGTGATTTTGCTATAAAGGGAAAAGAGAAATAAAGGTGGTGCTGGAGAAATATGTGGGGTTGTGAGGATTTGTTTTTAAGATGGAAAACTGATGATTTTGAATGCAGATGGAAATTATATAGCAGAGAAGAAAAAAAATTGATAATGCTAGGAAGGAATATTGCCAGCGGGGGTCCTTGATTAGATGAGTTGTTATAGAACTGGAGCATTACTTGTTAAACTTCATTCGGTGTATGAATCACCTAGGGCTCTTGTTAAAATGCAAGTTATGGTTCTGTAAGTCTGGGTTGGGGTTCTGAAATTCTCAATTGATAAGTTCCTAGAATTTACCTGTGTTTTTTGTCCCTGTGCTATAATTTGAGTATAAGAATTGGGCACTAATTTGGTGGTAGCACAAGAACTAACAAATTATATTGGTATGCAGTCAACTAGATTAGTGGATATGGTGAATTTGTCGTTTCTTTTCAGGTTTCTGTTTTCTCAGAACAGGAATCAAGTCATTATCCGGAAAGATGGTAAAATCATCTAGGATATTTGGATCAGTAGATTAGAGAAAAATAGGATTGTGGGGTTAAACTAAGGACCCATTTGTGATTAGTGATCATGAATTATACTGAGATGAATTAAATATGAGCATATGTTTTATTCTTCATTTACTTTCAACTACATGGGTACATGTAGGTAGGCAGTTGAGTCTTCTAATGGTGTATTTTTGGAGGAAGGGAGAGAGAGACAAGTGACTTAAAACAAATGTTATATAAAAGGTAGTTACAAATGATGGACCATGGAATTTAATCTGGGAAAGGAGGAAAATTAGAGTATGCTAGGTTAAACAGAAAATGTGGGGCTTTATTTTTGTTTTTTATTTGTTTTTGTTTTTAATTGCAGGTCTTTCCTCAATCTTTAATTTTATCAAGTAGCTCTGTAAATCTACAGGAGAGGAAATCTCTGAGCTTGTGTTTTACTAAATAAACTTAGGGGAAAGATGTTTCACACTTTCTGCTAAAAACAAGTATTGAAAACAGAGATTGTGATTTTATTTAAATGGAGGGGTTCTGTTGTAGATAAGGGAGGGAGGTCTTAAATGGTTTTTAAAAAATGGTTTCTATCAACTAAAAACTTTGTAAATGTATTTTATTTCTATTAAAACAGATTGTTAACATCCTTATAAATCATACAGCTTTATCATCATAGCTATGTAATAAAATATTTACTATATGGATAAATACAGACAAATTTTCAACCATTGGTTTTTGTTTTTGTTTTTGTCTCTTTCTCTCTCTTGGATATTACAGATGACCATGGATGAAAAATATGTAAACAGCATTTGGGACCTTCTGAAAAATGCAATTCAAGAAATCCAGCGTAAGAATAACAGTGGTCTTAGTTTTGAGGAGCTCTATAGAAATGCATATACAATGGTTTTGCATAAACATGGAGAAAAGCTCTACACTGGACTAAGAGAAGTTGTTACCGAACATCTCATAAATAAGGTATCCAACTTTAAAGGACTGTTACTAATTATACTGAATCTAGAAAATCTTTAAAGCATATTTTACTATGACTAGTAGTTTTGTTTTTAAAGGCCCTAGGAAGCCTATAGAAATAATTAATTAATGGTTATATTATAAAACCTTACTCAAAACCTATAATCAGCTAAATTGGAATTTTTTTATAATTGAGAGAAGAAGAAATTTGTGTACTATGAGCAATATTCTTTATAATTGTAGTTGAGGAAGCAAACTTTCAGTAATTTACAAATGTTTATTAGTATGTTAATTATAAAGCATCATTTTTTTCCTTAGAATGCTTAATCAGCCAATATTAGCTTTCTCCACTTTCTCTGCATAGTTGAAAATATTGAAACTACATTGTTATTTATCTAAGACTTTTTACCACTTGGAACTGACTTTATTTATTTTAATTGAGTTTTACTTTAGAAATGTGAATTAAAAAAAAAAAAATAGTGGTGGGCTGTTAACATTATCAAATGGTTCTTTGGTTCCAAAATGATGTATTTGTTTTTTTAGAACATATGTTTTTATAAAGCAAACTTCCACTGCAAGTATGTCTGGCTTTAAGATTGTCAGATAAGATGTAAATGCCACAGATAAATAAAAACTCAAAATTTTTTGTGTGGTATTAGGGTATTCATTTTTTTAAATTTTATTTTTGAGAAAATGGAAAAGTTATACCAATAGTACAAGGATCTCATTGTAGATTCACCTGTTATTAATATTTTGCCACATTTTTGTCCAATTTGTTTATTGACACATGTTATTCAAATTACAGATATTATTGCTGAACATTTAAGTAATATGTTTTAGATTTATTTACTCTCAAATATTTGGGTATATTTAGCCTAAGAACAAGGAAATTCTCATAACCAAAGAACAATGTTCCAATTCAGGCAGTTTAACATTAATATAATACTATTACCTGATACAGTCCACATATAAATTCGCCCTTGTCCTGTGTAGCAGTGATATCCTTTATTTCAGTTTTCTGATCCAGAATCCAATCCAGGATCACATACACAATTTCTCAGCCTTTCTTTGTCTTTCAACACATTGACATTTTTTAACAGTATAGGTCAGGTTTTTTGTAGATTGTCCCTCAGTTTTTGGCTTGTCTGATTGTTTCCTCATGACTAGTTTCAGGTTATGCATTTTTGGCAGGAATATTACATAAGTGATGTTGTGTCCTCAGTGCATCACATCAGGAGGCACATGATGTCAGTTTATCCCATTATTGGTGATGTTAACTTTGATCACTTGGTGTCCGCCAGATTTCTCCACTGTAAAGGTACCTTTTTTTCCCTTTGTAATTCATAAATAATTTGTTCAGATATATTTGAGACTGTATAAATATCCTGTTCCCCAAGAAACTTTCATGTGATAGTTTAGCATCTATTGATGATTCTTGCATGAATCATTATTACTCTGGTGGTTACAAAATAGTTACTTTTTATTTCTGTTATTCCTTCTGCAAGTCCTTTCTCTTAAGTGGGATTACATGAGCAGTAGCTAGTATCTCATAAAGCAGGTGATATGTTCTTTAGGCAATTCATTGGTTATTTTTCTAGTAGGAAAATACGGTGGATGCAAAGAGATACATAATACTAATGATTCATAGGTTTGTTTTTACTCTGATGTGAGAGATGATACACACATTAGATAACTGTGAGGCATTATTTAATTAAGTGGTAATAAGTTACCCTGGGCTGTAAGATTTCATGAGAAAGAATCAAATTGAAGTGAGCCATGATAAATTTGGGATATAACTGAACAATGTGGAAGGCATTCTAGAGATTGCAGGAATCACATGGTTATATAGACATGTTCATCGTTCACTTATGTGGTAACTAGAGTTTGATTGAGGTATATAATAATGTATGAGAATTAGTGGATTATGGTGTTGCAAGAATGGTTTGGGAACCAATTGGAGAAAAATTTGAATGCCAAGTTAAGGGATTTGAACTTAACAGTGGAGGTTTATTAGATGTTTTTAAGTAGATGATGATGTGACATTTTAGGAAGATTAAAATGGAATTTATATAATGTAGAATTGGGGGGTTGTTTGCTGGAAACAGGAGAAAACCCAGGAAAATCTGAGTAAAGCATTAGGCTAGAAATGAATGGATAATGTCAGAAATTATAAAGTAAGACTAGGTGGAGTTTGTTTTTGGGAGAATTATATGGTGCCACCAATAGAAATATTGTGAAATAATAGTGGAAAACTGATTTTGAATGAGTAGAGGAAATGACAAATTTTGCTTTAGATTATATTGGAAATTTTTATAGTTGGCAAGCACTTTAAAAATTATTTTACATGTGAGGATAATTGAGTGTGAGATCATAATAAAATGCTCAAGTAAAATTGTCATATGCTTGGAGATATAGGTTTAGAGCTTGAGAGCTTAACACTGAAGATAAAGATTTGGCATTTGTTAACATGTCTTGAGGAATAAGTGTTGGAGATCACAGAGAACAAAAATCCCAGAGCTAAGGAATGAAATAGGTATGAGAAAATAAGACTAATATAAGGAGCTTGATATCAAACAAAAAGAAAAAGGAAAAATAGAGTGGAAGAGTTTTGCTTAAAGCTCTTGAAGGGAGAGAAGATTGGAGCAACTGAGTTCTTGGATGTGGAGAGTTTGGAACAATGGGGAAGTAAAGGTAGAAGATAGGGGTATGTTCTCATTTGCCGAAGTTTTACAGAGAATGATGATAACACCTAATTACTATTATATATGTGCCAGGTCCAGTTCTAATGCTTTTTACAAATATTAACTTGGTCAATGGTCACAGTCCAATGAGTTTGATAGTACTTTTATACCAATTTTGAAGTTAGGAAACTGAGGCACAGAGATTGGTCCAGATGCATGTAGCTAGTATATGGCCAAGATGAAACATTCAGTCATGGTGGTTTTCATTTCTCTGTAGATTAGCTCCTAAGGTGTATGTAGTGAATGGATCAAGATGTAATAAATATGCTAGCCTTGAGGCTGCATGAGGGGCTTCAAGTAAATTGGCTCAATGTTTGTAAAGCTATAGTCCTTTAAATTCTAGCTCTTAGTTTATATTATTCAAATGGTGGAATTGGCAGTAATATTTCTGAGATTCTTTAGTTCTAAAACTGTTATGAATCTAATAATTAAGCCATACATCTGAAAATGAGGTAATATAGGGAGGAATTGCCAAATAAGGAAAAAGCTCAGTAGAAAATAGATCGAATGTGTGATCACCATCATTATTATTATCATTATTATTTTAAGCAGTGCTTTGCCGCTTGGGCACAGAAACAAAAAAATCATCTGTCATTAATGTGCTATGGTTGAGAATTAGCTTATCCAAAAAGTAAGGAGAGAAGGCCAGAATGGGAGGTCAGTATTTAAATGATTAATTTTTGGACTCTCCAATGTGGTTAGGTAGATAAATTGAAGTCATGTGAACACATAATTCCATGGTAACTGCGAGAACTTTAGTTTTCTTGACATGTTAAAACGTGTTGGAAGTAATCATTAAATATTTCAGTTGTTAGTTTGGGGAAAGATTTTTTATTTATTGCTTTGAATTAAGAGCTTCACTTTGACTTGTATGCATGCATATAAGCTTAACCAGTGGTCACGGACAACAGGGGATTGGGGGCATACATGGGGAGGGGTTGGGTGGGAATGGGGGGATGAGGACAATTATGTGATACCATAATCAATAAAGAAAAACTTTTTAAAAAATTAAAGAGTGGGGAACATTACCATGAGGATTGAAATATTTTTTTTTTAAATTTGTGAAATGCTTAAACTAATATTACTATGTATATATCAGTAAATTACTCAGAGAAGAATCTTCCTATAGCATCAAGAAAAACAGTTTTCCCTGCAGTGGCTATTTTGTTTTATTGATACTGTTATGATTCCTCTGATCAAGATTGCCACCTTCATTCTGAAAGTTGAGTAATTGTTTAGAACAACCCTGACAGTCTAGGAAAAAATCAAGAAGGCATCAGGAATTACTTGTCATTGGTGAATTCTTAGAAAGTTAACTTGGCAGAAGCTTGTTTTGAAATACAGAAATTTTAAGGTATATATATATTATGAGATAGCAACATCTATTCAAACTTATATTGAATATACAAATGGAAGGAGATTGACTACTTATAAGAATTCCTTCTGGTTATGAAGAAATATCTGTTGTATTGAAGAAAGGAAAGCAAGACTCAAGTGGCAATTATTAGTTTAGAAAATACTATATAAAACATGTAGATATATGTGTTTTATGTCATTTGTTTCTCAAACTTTAAGGTACTTTTGAACTTCCTGGTAATCTTGTTAAAATGTAGGTTCTGATTGTACATTTCTAACAACCTCCTAGGTGATGATCTTAACCATGATACTGCTCTTAGGACATGCTTTGAGTAACAAGATTCAAATACATATTTGTGCACCAGAGGAGTCACTCGGCATCGCCTGTGGGATTGGGCCTAAATTGGACGTCTGACATCCTCCAAGAGGTCCTGGATTGCGAGAAGGTGCAGGCCAAGCTGAGGGACCCCACCTGGCCCCACAATTGGGGCCAGGGAGAGACGCAGAGATGCATGAGGTTGACCAGCCAGGGAGGGATCGTGCGAGGACTGCAGGGAGTGTCTGGCCTGTCTCACCCAGTCCTGATCAGCTGGACCCCAGCAGCAAACTAACTGGTTGGAGCGTCTGCTCCCTGATGGTCAGTGTTCATCATAGCGACTGGTTGACCAGTTGACTGCCCCCTGGTGGTCGAGCGGCTTTAGCATATCATTAATCTATGATGCTTTGATTGGTTGAACGGCCAACTGGTTGACTGGACACTTAGCATATTAGGCTTTTTATTATCTAGGATAATGAATATGTAATACAAGAAATAATAGTAGAAATGCTTATATGGCATTTACTATAGGCTAGGCACAGTTCTAAGCATTTTGTGTATGTTAACTCATTTTATCCATACAACACCTCCTT